AAATGCTTAAAACTTCCTCATTAAGAAAGTGACAGCATTATAAAAACAGATAAAGAATTCTGAAATTATAATATTCAGCATCCCATACTATTAACAGAGAGATAAAGAGAAATAAAAATGAAAGTGAAAATGGCAGGAAAGCCTTGTGGAGTTTCTGTTTGTCCTAGGCCCAATCCCTCCCTACCTCGGTGCCAGTCTTAAAGTCAGCAGCTGGAGATCCCAGTATAAAACCCTAATCACTCAAGTATCACCTCTGTATTTTCAAATTGGTATGGGGACTTTCCAAAGGTCTGAAACAAAGCTCTCTGTTCTACATCTACAATAACTCAGTCAGGGTCAAATTTGGCAAGAACTACTTTAAAATGTTGCAAAATGGGCCAGGCACGGTGGCTTACATCTGTAATCCCAGCACCTAGGAAGGCTGAGACGGGCAGATCATGAGGTCAGGAGACCAAGATCATACTGGCTAATAAAGTGAAACCTCATCTCTACTAAAATTACAAAAAAATTAGCCGGGCATGGTGGTGTACACCTGTAGTCTTAGCTACTTGGGAGGCTGAGTTGAAGCCTCATCATCCTAGGAGGATGAGGCTGCACTGAGCCATGTTTGAGCCACTGCACTCCATCCTGGGTAACAGAGTGAGACCCTCTATCCAGAAAAAAAAAAAAAAAAAAAAGGCAACAAATATTAGTCCCATATTTTCCAAAACAGATAAAAACTATGAACCTAGAGATGCAAAAAGCTCAACCACAGCCACAATATATATCAACAAATCCACACCAAGACACAGCATCAAATTGCTGAAAACCAGGTATAATAAAGAATTACTTGAAGAAACTGGGGGAAAAAGACACCTTAACAACAGACAACCAAGTGTAACACTGATTACATACTTACTATCAGAAACAATTCGAACTGGAAGACAATGGAGCAATATCCTTAAAGAACTAAAAGAACAAGTATTTGAACAAAGAATCCTATATTGAGCAAATAACATCTTTCCAAATGAATGGAAAATACTTTATTTAGTCATAATTACTGTGTTTGCAATCAGCATATTGGCTCATTAAAAAAGGTCTGGGTCGGGTGTGGTGGCTCACACCTGTAAGTAATCTCAGCACTCTGGGAGGCCGAGGTGGGTGGATCACCTGAGGTCAGGATTTCAAGACCAGACTGGCCAACATGGTAAAACCCAGTTTCTACTAAAAATACAAAAATTACCAGATGGGCACCTGCAATCCCAGCTATTCGGGAGACTGAGGCAGAAGAATTACTCCAACCCAAGAGGCAGAGGTTGTAGTGCGCCAAGATCACACGACTGCACTCCAGCCTGGGCAACAGAGTGAGCCTCCATCTCAAAAAAAAAAAAAAAAGAAAGGTCCAGCCAGGTGTGGTGGCTCACGTAATCTCAGTACTTTGGGAGAACAAGGACAGAGGAATGCATGAGTCCAGGAGTTCAAGACCAGGCTGAGCAAGACAGCAAGACTCCATCTCTACAAAAAATTAAAAAATCAGTTGGCATGGTAGCAGCATGTATCTGCACAGATCACTGAACCTGTTAAAAAAAAAAAAAAAGAAAAAGAAAAATAGGCCAGGCACAGTGGTGAGATGGAGTCTCACTCTATTGCCCAGGCTGGAGTGCAGTGGCACGATCTCGGCTGACTGCAACCTCTGCTTCCTGGGTTCAAGAGATTCTCCCACCTCAGCCTCCCAAGTAGCTAGAACTATAAGCATCCACAACCATGCCCAGCTACTTTTGTATTTTTAGTAGAGATGGGGTTTTGCATCTCTACTTAATTAGCCGGGCACGGTGGCAGGCGCCTATAATCCCAGCTACCAAAAAAAAAATGCAAGCCTCAAGCGATCCTCCCACCTTGGTCATTCAAAGTGCTGCCATAACAGGCATGAGCCACCATGCACAGCCCACGCTCATTTTTGAGGTTCCACTCTCATAATCTAACCTAATCCTTATGTCTCAAAAAAACCATTGCCTAATACTGCCACATCAGGGAAGTGGAAAAATAAATACAATTTTATAAGGACACAAACATTAATTTCATAACAAGTAATTTATTAGTAGCTAACTTTTTATAGTTCTCTAAATAATCCGCATGTTAACCCCTTATCAGATATACAATTTGGAAATAGTTTCTTCCATTCTATGGGTTACCCAATTACTCTGCTAATACTGCCTTTTGATGCATAAGCTCCACAAAGTCTGTCTTATTTTTTCCCTTATGGGTCAATGCTTTTGGTGCCAAAATCTAATAAATCATTGCAAAATTCACTGTCATACAGCTTTTACCATGTATTTTCACCTAATAGTTATAGATCTAAGATGTACACTTACGTATTTCATTCATTTGAACTTTCATACATGTTAGGTAAGGGTACAAGTTCATCCTGCTGTATGTGGACGTGCATTTCCCAACAGCATCATTCTATGGGAACACTAAGCTATCCCCCACTGAATAGTCAAAGCAGACTTTTCAACAATTGTTAAGACTTTATATAAATTAAACTTTATTAGACTTTCTGTGCTATCTTGTTGCCTTCTCTATTTCTGTTATTGTGCTAGTACCAAACTGTTTTTATTAGTATGGATTTGTAATAAGTTTTGAAATCCGGAAGTATGAGTTCACCAACTTGTTCCAGCTTTTAAAGACTGTTTTGTTGATTTACAGTCCCTTGAAATGTCATACATAAAAAAATTTTTAAATGTTCAAAAATGGCTCCTATGAAGGAATCAACTGGTCAAAGCTATCCCTAAAAGGTTAGCAGGAAACAAAAAGTGCTTTCTCAATCAGAAAATACAAACCTAAGATGTTTTGAAAAGTGGCATGTCACCTTGGAAAGTTCGTAAGGTCAGTAAGAAGGAAACAAGATCTTCAGTGACACCAAACCAATAAAAAATAAAGATAGACAGATAGATAAATAAATAAATAAAATAGAACCAAGAAATCACACACTAAAGCAGACAGAAGCTAAAATTCCTGAAAGTGTTAGAGCTGCCCCTATGATGGCAAAAATGATCCCTCTGGTTCATGATAAACTAAGTATAAAGACTAAGAAAGCATTAACTGTGTGGCTGGAGGACACATCGAAGAACCACATCCCTGTTGATGGTAACATCATACTTGAAAAAAACACTTAGCCTCTATGAGCACCACTGTGAGAGGGCTGAGGAGAACAAGAGGAAGGAGTCTAAAGCCTGTAAGGTCTGGCTAGGCTAGCTATGAAACATACTGCAGCCCAAGAACTTGAAGACCACAGGAAAGAATTGTCATTGGCTGATACCAGGGAAAACACAGCATTCCTAGAGGAGCTCGTAAAACAAAAAAGAAAGACTACCTTCCAGAGCAAATCTTCTACTGTCATGAATCAGGCATATTCTAGAAGTCCAATGGCACCTTCATCCGTGAGTGCAGGTACTGGGGTTCAAGGCCTGGAAAGATCATCTTATTCTGCTGCTGTCAGGTAATACATCAATCAGTTCACAAGAATAACCCAGGCTTCATCTACTGGGCAATAAGCAGGCTCTTTAGGACAAAAACAAAACTTGCTCACCTGTGTCCTGCCAAGAAAATAAATAAGAAGGTTTTCTTTTACCAATGCTTCACTCCTGATGTGATGGAATACCTCAATGAGACTTCCACTCAAGGTCTTCCTCAGAATTGACAATACTCCAGGCTCTCTCTCCAATCTTTGTTTTGCCTAAAAAAAAACATGCAAGTGGCTGGGTATGGTGGCTTGCGCCTGTAATCCCAGCACTTTGGGAGGGTGGGTGGTTTATGCCTGTAATCCCAGCACTTTGGGAGCGTGGATCACGATGTCAGGAGTTCAAGACCAACCTGGCCAAGATAGTGAAACCCCATCTCTACTAAAAATACAAAAATTAGCTGGGCATGGTGGTGGGTGCCTGTAATCCCAACTATTCGGGAGGCTGAGGCAGAGAATTGCTTGAACCCAGGAGACAGGTGTTGCAGTGAGCCAGTATCGCGCCACTACACTCTAGCCTGGGTGACAGAGCGAGACTCCATCTCAAAAAAAAAAAAAAATGCAAGTGATATTTCTGCCTCCTAAAACTACATCACTGCTGTGTCACTAGATCAAGGCATCATCAAGTGCATTAAAGTGACTTATATCCACCTGACCTTGGGTGAATTCATGGGGTCTTGATACTAACTTTGAATGAGCTTCAGATGGGAAGGCTTAGATGCCCTAAAGCCCAGGACAGCCAATGTATGTTACAAGCCATCATGGAATAAGGGAGTCTTCAGGGACTTCCTAACTATTGATGCAGTCATTAAGAATATCTGAAATGTTGTCCAAAAAAGTTGGTGAGGAGCGCTGTCTGAAATGACACACAAAAGAGCAAAAAGAAAACCTTACCAACTAGGAATTTCAAAGTCTGCTGAATCCACTACAGATGATGATGATCAGAAAATTTAGAAGACAAAGAGTCACTGATTTGGACACTTGAAAAGTTTGCCGGTTTTTCAGCAGACAAAGGTGAAAAAGTGGTATGATCCTCAAAGATCCCACAATGAAACAAAGCTTTCATTTTACCTGAGAAATAACAACATGCCTATAATAACACTGTAAGATTTTTTGTGATGAAGCAAAGGAAAAGAAGAACTAGTTTCCTATAACTAAGCATCTGCAAATAAGTTGGAACATTCAATGGTTACAGATGTTCAGCCCTCAAGCCAAACAGATCCTGACATTAGTATTATGTAGCCTCATCAAATGAGTCCACATCTATAATTGCAACTTGGTTCTTCCAACATAGATGATAGTCCTGATGGCCTGTCAAGATTCAAGTTAACCTGATGTCTCACTACTTACCCACAGTGCCATACATTTAGTCATCTCAACACATCAAAACATTAGGCACCACAGAATAATCATCACTATAATCATTATATTTGGGTTATCAAGAGAAAAGACCCAGGATTTTGGATGTTAACACATTCAACAAAAGCAATATGTGACAGGCTGAAAGAAAGAAACTTTAATGGTCTGGCTGACATATACTATGTCGACAGGCTCACAATTACTGCATCTGTACTGAAAGTACATAGACTCTTCCTTATCACGATTCCCTAAACAATACAATAGAACAACTATTTGCATAGCTTTTACAATGCATGAGGTATTTTAAGTAATCTAGACATGATTGAGAGTATACAAGAGGATGTGGGTAGGTCACATACAAATATGTCATTTTATAAAAGGGACTTGAAATGGCTCACAGAGTGCTGGTACCAATACCCAGCATGTATCAAAGGATAACTGTATTAGAAAGAAACTGAAACTCCTTAAGGCTTTCCCAAAGTGCTTACATTCACAGGGTTTATCTCCAATGTGTTTCTTCCAAGTTTCTGAAATGAAATAAATAAATGCTTTCCCACATTCCAGACATTTACAGATTATCTTTCCAGTGAGTCTTTTTATGTCTATGCAAGGAATTGAGAGAAGCAAATGCTTTCCCGCATTCCTTACATTCATACGGGTTCTCTCCAGTGTGAGTTTTTTCATGTCCTTGAAGGAAACGAGAATGAGTGAAGGCTTTACCACACTGTTTACATTCATAGGATTTCTTTCTCATGTGAATTCTTTCATGTCGTAGAAAGCAAGTGAGCCAAGAGAATGCTTTCCCACATTCCTTACATTCATACGGCTTCTCTCCAGAGTGAATTCTTTCATGGACTTTTAAGTTACCAAAATGACTGAAGGCTTTCCTACATGTTTGACACTCATAAGGTTTCTCTCCTGTGTGAGTCCTTTTATGTTGAGAAAGGTATTGGAAACAACTGAATGCTTTCCCACATTCCTTACACTCATATGGCTTCTCTCCAGCATGAGTTGTTTTGTGATTTTGAAAGGAATAGAAATCAATAAAGCCTTTCCCACATTTGCATTTATAGGGTTTCTCTCCAGTATGAGTTGTTTCATGTCTTCGAAGGGAACTGGAAATACGGTAGGCTTTGCCACATTGTTTACATTTATAGGGTTTCTCTGCAGTGTGAGTCTTTTCATGTCTTAGAAATACACTGGGATAAACAAAGGCTTTCCCACATACCTTGCATTTATGAGGTCCATCTCCAGTGTGCATTGTCATGTGTCTTCGAAAGCTTGAGCTATGAGATAATGCTTTCCCACACTGCTTGCATTCATAGAGCTTCTCTCCAGTGTGAGTTCTTTCATGACTTTGCAGTGAACTGGGACAATCAAAACCTTTCCCACATACCTTACATTTATGAGGTCCATCTCTAGTGTGTGTTATCATGTGTCTCTGAAAGCTCCCCAGATGATGAAATGCCTTCCCACACTGCTTACATGCATAGGGTTTCTCTCCAGTGTGAGTTGTTTCATGTCTTCGAAGGGAAGTGGAAGCACTAAAGGCTTTCCCACATTGTTTACATGTGTAGGGTTTCTCTCCAGTGTGAGTTCTTTCATGTCTTAGACAAGAACTGTAATCAGGGAAGGCTTTGGAACACTGCTTACATTCATATGGTTTCTCCCCAGTATGTGTTCTTTCATGTCTTAGATAGGAACTGTAAAAAGAAAAGGCTTTAGAACACTGCTTACATTCATACGGTTTCTCTCCAGTGTGCGTTCTTTCATGCACATGTAATAAACTGGGCCAGAAAAAGGCTTTCCCACACAACTTACATTTATAAGGTCCATCTCCACGCTGCACTGCCATGTGTCTTTGAAGGTTTCCCAGAGAACTGAAGGATTTTCCACATTCTTTACAATCATATGGTTTCTTTCCAGTGTGAGGACTTCCAGGTGTTTGAAATGAGTTGCGGCAACTGAAGGCATTCCCACATTGTTTATGTGTATCTGGCTTCTCTCCACATTCATGATACTCATGTGGTTTGTGCCCAGCATCAACTCTGATGTAGCAATTAAGGGATGAATGATCCATGACGATTTCTTCACACATACTGCTTTCACATGGACCTACTCCAGGCAGAGTGTTCTTGTTCCAAATACTATCCTGAATCTGGCTAGATGTTTCGCCACACTGACGTCCATCTTTACTTTCACCAAATCTCTCTAACATATAACATCTGTAAAAAATGGGAAATATGTCACTAAAGGTTTATAAATCATTTTATAGGCATTAATAGGTATTGGATGTATATTTTTAACATTACCATGTAAACTGTAGGCTTCATGCCCTGCTTGAATGTGAATGGATGGAATGTTGTACAAGATAGCTCAACCCCAAGTGTTCTTAAGACAATGATATTCATATGTGGATTCCTAATATTGTTACCATGGGAACTATTTTACAAACACTGAACAGCTATGGAACATTTAAGTATATGTTTTTGGAGAAAATTTTCTAAGGATAAATAAATTTAAGCTAGGCTTGTTCATTTTCTTTGCTTGTTTTTAAAATTTCATGTCACCAGGCACGGTGGCTCAAGCTTATAATCCCAGCACTTTAGGAGGCCAAGGCAGGCGGATCATGAGGTCGGGAGATTGAGACTATCCTGGCCAACATGGTGAAACCCCATCTCTACAAAAATTTAAAAACATGGTGGTACACGTCTGTAGTCCTAGCTACCTGGGAGGCTTAGGCACGAGAATCGTTTGAACTCGGGAGGCAGAGGTTACAGTGAGCTGGGATCATACCACTGCACTCCAGCCTGGCGACAGAGAGAGACTCTGTCTCTAAAATAAAATAAAATAATAAAAAATAAAATAATATAAAATAAAATAAAATTTCATGTCATTCTCTGAACAGTTCCAGGGACCTATCTTTCTCCTGTGAGTATAAATTACCTTAGATTTTTCCTGGGATATCTGTACTGATGTTCAATGTTCTGGTCTTTCCATTTCATTCCTAAAAGGTAGACCCAGAAAAATCATTGTAAATTTTTACAAAATTACAGACCAACAGTAAGATTTTGATGTACACTGCAATCATGCAAAATGCATTCACTGAAGTACAGTTGACTCTTGAAAAACAGAAGTTTGAACTGCACAAGTCCATTTACACATACATGAATGTTCTTCAGTCTCTGCTACCCAAGACAGTGAGACCAACCACTCTTCTTACTCAGCCTACTCAAGACAAAGACAATGATGAAAATCTTTCTGATGATGTGCTTCTACTTAATGAACAGTAAATATAGTTTTTCTTCCTTATAATTATCTTACTAACATTTTTTGTTTCTCGCTTACTTTACTGTGAGAATATAGGATGTAATAATATGACATAAAATATATGTATTAATCACTGCTTATGTGGATAGATAATGCTGCCTGTCAACAGTAGGCTAAGATGTTCTGCACAAAAAGTTTTTTGTTTTTTGGTTTGTTTCTGAGACAGTCTCTTGCCCAGGCTGGAGTGCAGTGCCACGATCTTGGCTTACTGCAACTTCTGCATCTCAGGTTCAAGCGATTCTCCTGCCTCAGCCTCCTGAGTAGCTCAGATTACAGGCACATGTCACCATGCCCAGCTAGTTTTTGTATTTTTAGTAGAGGAGGGGTTTCACCATGTTGGTCAGGCTAGTCTCGAACTCCTGACCTCAAATGATCCACCCACCTTGGCCTCCCAATGTGCTGGTTATAGGTGTGAGCCACTGTACTCGGCCTGACAAAAAGTTATATGAAGATGTACAACTGCAATGGGAACTGGCACCCCTAAATCTGTTTCTTTTTTCCAGGGCCAACCATATTCCCTTTCCATATTCCAAATATCTGAACAGCATGAATGACTAAGAAACAAATGTCTCCAATTAATTAAGTGGAAATGCAATGTCATCCTTACCTACACAATCCAGGTTCCTGATGGTTTGTTGCATCACATCTTTGTAGAGATTCTTCTGACAAGGACCCAGCAAAGCCCATTCTTCTCGGGTGAAGTTCACAGCCACATCCTCTAAAGCCACTGAGGCCTGATCCATCCCACATGTACAGAGGAGGAAGGGCGAAAATCACAGTACTGATAATCTATACTCACTTCATAAACTTCACATGATGCTGTGGTTTCCAAACATTTTATTCAATGACATGGTAAATCCACTCTTATTCTCTGTCTACACTCACTTTCTCCTACACATTAACTCTGAAGTTAGAACTGAACATGTTTAGTAAATTAACAGTTGAATAGAAACATGCCACTTGGTGGTGAACTAAGTGAGTGAATCACATAGCCCGGATCACCCCTAATGTCTATTCCACAGTGGGTTTACAGTCCTTGGCATGATAAAGTCCTACTACTTATTGTGCAACAGAGAGTTACCATTAGCAGTCCTGAGACTACATATCCTTACAAATGCTTGATCACAAAGTTGGGCCTTTCATGGTGCCTAGACAATGTATTTAGGGGAAGGCCCCATGAACATAACAGAAGTGGAGTGTGCCTAAACTGTTTAGGCAAAACAATATATATTATTACCATAACTCCCCTCTTCCTTCTGAGAGTTTAGAATTTTGTTACATACTCAGCAGAGGGAGTGCACCTGATTAGCCACTGCTAGGTTTGAATGGTTGTCCCTTCCAAAATGCACACTGAATGTTAATCTCCAAAGTGGCAGTTGGAAAAAAAAAAAGGTGGGGCTTTAAGAGGTGATTTAGTCCTGAGGGTTTGGACCTCATGAATAGATTAATCCATAATGGGTGAATAAATGAGCTATCTCAGGAGTAGGACTCATGTCCTTCTAGAGAAAGAGATCTGAGCTAGACACTCCATTTCCTCACCATGTGATACTCTATGTCACCTAGCGACTCTGCAGAGTCCCCACCAGCAAGAAGGTTCTCACCAGACGCCCAGCCTTAATCCTGGACTTCCCAGCCTCCAGAAATGTAAAAACTAAATACTGTTTCTTATAAATTACCCAGGTCCAGTAATGCTGTTATGAATAACAAGAAACAGGCTAAGACAGCTATAAAGAAACATTCTGGGCACTGGCTCTATAATGAACTTTCTGGTTAGATGTGGCATCCCATACTATTAGCAGAGAGAGAAACCATATATATAAAGAAAAATGAAAAGTGGTAGAAGTCTTGTGGAATTTTTATTTGTTCTTGGCTCAGTCCCTCCCCCTATCAATGCCAGTCTTCAACAGAGCAGCCCAAGTTCCTGGTATAGAACCCTGGACGCTGATTCTAGAGACAGCAGATCAGATTTTATTTGAAAATTATTGCCTTTGTATTTTCCAATCTGTATAAGGACTATCCAATGGTCGGAAACAAGGCTCTCTTTTCTCTTTTTTTTTTTTTGAGACAGAGTCTTGCTCTGTCACCCAGACTGGAGTGCAGTCGCGTGACTTTGGCTTACTACAACCTCCGCCTCCTGGGTTCAAGCAATTCTCCTGCCTCAGCCTCCCGAGTAGCTGGAAATACAGGTGTGCTCCACCACATCCGGGCAATTCTTGTATTTTTACTAGAGACGTGGTTTCACCACGTTGGCCAGGCTGGTCTCAAACTCCTGACCTCAAGTAATCTGCCTTAGCCTCCCCAAATGCTACGATTACAGGTGTGAGCCACCACGCCCAGCCAAGGCTCTCTTTTCTATTCTAGCTACAATATAACACAATCGGGTCAAAGTTGGCAAGAACTGCATGAGAATGTTGCAAAATATACAAAAAGCCTCCAGCCAACTGGAAGAACAGACTATGATTAAGACATACAGTAGATCAACTCAGTCACGGGGGAAAAAGAGCTGAAGAGAAAATGTCCTCCAGATACTAGAGTACTCAAAAGCACCCAGGTATTCTGGGGAATTGAGAAAGCCTCATGCATGCACAGTAAATAATACATTTTCACAAAAGATACCTGAGAAGAAACCCTCATTTTCAGTTTTGGCTGATCTGTAGGTTTTGTTAAGCAGAAAATAAAGGCTAAAGTAGAGTGTTAAACAGCCTGGCTTAGTCTTCAAGGAATGCCCCAGGACAGAGCCATCCATGAAGACTAGAAGAGGTCAGGCTTTTGTGTGCTTTATCTCTTTTTACTAGCTTCTAGCATTCAGGAAATCTCTGTCAGAACATTGGATGAACACACACTAAAGAACAAAGATGTTGGACAGTGTGGTGGTTCACACCTGTAATCCCAGAACTTTGGAAGGCTGAGGCAGATGGATCACGAGGTCAGGACTTCAAGACCAGCCTGGCCAACATGGTGAAATCCCATTTCTACTAAAAATACAAAAAATTACCCAGGTGTGATGGCGTGTGCCTGTAGTCCCAGGTACTTGGGAGGCTGAGGCAGAGCTTGAACCTGGGAGGCGGAGGTTGCAGTGAGCCAAGATTGCACCACTGCACTTCAGCCTGGGCACGCCAGACTCTGTTATCAAAAAAAAAAAAAAAAAGAAAGAAAGAAAAGAAAGAAAATAAGTCAATGAAGGCACAAAAATTATTTCCTTTTCTTATTCCTATTGGGTATCATAAAAGTTTGTTCAAAAAATAACATGAACAATGTACTGATGTTAAACTGGGAGGGAAGGAGGAATTCTGAACACTGTGTTATACTAGCATTACCCCGTTAGACAGTACAGTGTTATTTAAAACTGAAGGTTCATTTGTTGTGAATGGTTTACTCCAAATGCTAGGGAATTCAATAATAAAATTTAAGAAACAACAGCCTATCACAGTGGTTCATGTAATGCCAACACTCTTGAGATGTAAGACAAAAGGATTGCTTAAGCTCAAGAGTTTGAGTCCACAGTCAGCAACACAATGAGACTCTACAAAAAGTGAAAACAGATGCAGTGACTCACATCTGTAACCCCAGCATTTTGAGGGGCCGAGGTGGGAGGATCACAAGGTCAAGAGATCAAGACCATCCTGGCCAACATGGTAAAACCCCATCTCTACTAAAAATACAAAAATTAGCTGGGTGACGCTAGCCTGTAGTCCCAGCTACTCAGGAGGCTGAGGCAGAAGAATCACTTGAACCCAGGAGGCAGAGGCTGCAGTGAGTGGAGACTGCACCACTGCACTCCAGCCTGGAGATAGAGCAAGGCTCTATCCAAAAAAAAAAAACTAGCCTGGTGTGATGCCCTGTACCTGTAGTCCCAGCTACCCAGAAGAGCAAGTATGGAGGATCTCTTGAGTCCAGGAGTTGGACGTTACAGTTAGCTATGATTGCTCCATTGCACTCTAGTATAGGTGATAGAGCAAGATCTTGTACAAAGAAAAGAAAAGAAAGAAGGGAGGGAGGAAAGGAGGAAGGGAGGGACGGAGGGACCCTAGCTACTCTGGAAGGTGAAACAGAAGAACTGCTTGAACCTGGGGGGTGGGGTGGAGGTTGCAGTGAGCCAACATCGCGCCACTGCGCTCCAGGCTTGAGCAACAGAGTGAGACTCTGTCTCAAAAAAAAGGGAGCGGGGGGAAAGGGAGACACAGAAATAAGTAAACTTCCCATACTATTAGAAGAAAACGAAATCATATAGAACGCTCAGTTAAAATAAAGTGAGGTGGAAAAAGAAAGGAAGCCGGAAAAAAAGAGACAAATATAACACGTATAAAACAATTATATAAGTACATATGAATCGAAGTACATCAATAACCACTTTAAATGTACATTATATGAATATACAAGAAGACAGATACTGACAGAGTAGAATGAAAAAAAAACAAGACCTGGCCAGGCACAGTGGCTCATGCCTGTTATCCCAGCACTTTGGGAGGCGAAGACAGGCAGATCATAAAGTCAGGAGTTTGAGACCAGCCTGATTAACACAGTGAAACCCCATCTATACTAAAAATACAAAAGCCAGTCAAGTGTGGCGGCACGTGCCTGTAACCCCAGCTTCTCAAGAGGCTAAGGCAGGAGAATTTCTTGAAATGGTAGGCAGAGATTGTAGTGAGCCAAGATTGTGCCACTGCCAGGTGCGGTGGCTCGAGCCTGTAATCCCAGCACTTTGGGAGGCCGAGGTGGGTGGATCACGAGGTCAAGAGATCGAGACCATCCTGGTCAACATGGTGAAACCCCGTCTCTACTAAAAATACAAAAAAATAGCTGGGCATGGTGGCGCATGCCTGTAATCCCAGCTACTCTGGAGGCTGAGGCAGGAGAATTGCCTGAACCCGGGAGGTGGAGGTTGCGGTGAGCCGAGATCACGCCATTGCACTCCAGCCTGGGCAACAAGAGCGAAACTCTGTCTCAAAAAAAACAAAAACAAAAACAAAAAAACCCAGCTTGGCCAACAAAGCAAAACCCTGTCTCTTAAAATACAAAAATTAGGCCAGGTGCAGTTGCTCATGCCTGTAGTCCCAGCACTTTGGGAGGCCAAGGCGGGTGAATCACCTGAGGTCAGGAGTTCGAGACCAGCCTGGCCAACATGGTGAAACCCCATCTCTATAAAATAAAATTTAAAAAATACAAAAATTAGCTGGGCATCGTGGCACGCACCTGTAATCCCAGCTACTCTGGAGGCTGAAGCAGAATTGATTGAACCCAGGAGGCTGAGGTTGCAGTGAGCCAATATCGTGCCACTGCATTCCAGCCTAAGCAACAGAGCGTGACTGTCTCAAAAAAAAGAAAAAAAGTGGGCATCAGCCTCAAGCCATGGTCAAAGCTACTCACCCTTCTATGCTTTACATGGATATTTAAAAACAAAATACTCATGTTTGTTGAATCCAGGAAAATCACTCAAATTCAGTGTTTATGTTTATGGGTGGGAAGGAAATCGTAAGGCACCTACATTCTATATAGTTCAATAGGAAAAGCACAAGTATCTATCCATTTAAGACAATGAATGCCATTTAATTACTACTTCCATGGTAGTAAGCCATATAGTAAAATATATATATATATATATTTTACTTTTTTAGCTGTTGGAAAGTCCTGTCCCACAGAATTTAGCACTAATCTGCCAAATCCACATAACAGGAACAGAACAGACTTCTCCATTGTTCCAAAATCTCCACCCGAAAAAGAGGAGGAAATGAACTTTTGTTAA